TACACTTCGTAGATGTATTGCGACGACGATAATAGGTTGAAGATTTTGACGTAAGATTTTTTTTCGTTTATGTCGGAAAGAAGGAAAATGGATAGTCTCTTTTGTTAAGCTTAGTTAAAAACTAAAAGCGATTTTTTTTAATTCGTTCTTCAAGCAATAAGTGATTGCGCTGTAGGCTACATCTGAATATTTTTAAAAAAAAAATTTATACGAGCGGCCACCTGAAATCGCTGAAATAGCAAAGTAACCGTTTCCCATAGACATACGTAATTGCATATGCGTTGCCTACCTTTAATCGACGGAAGAGAGGATGCACAGACAGAAAATATTTTCCCTTTCCATGCGATAAGTCCACTTCCCATCCCTTCCTTATAAGAAAATGGTGGGAAGGGAAAGAGGACTAAATTAGGCCTTCGGGACGCACACTCATCAGACTGCACGCGGCATTGCTTCCACTTCACGCCTGTCTTCTGTGTGGTCGTGGTATTTCACCGGACGAGCCGGGCCAATTATGCGAAGATGTTAAAGAAGGCTCTACCACTGTTAAAAGTTGTCGATGCATTAAATGTATAAAATTTTGCTCTGTGGTCATAATTTACCATTTTTGCCGTCTTAAGAGCCGCACAAGATAAACATTTAATGTGAATATTTCCGACATTGTATTGCATAAGTTTCAAAGCGGTCAGAAGCGATATCAATCTCAAACGGCCGTACTCGACGTCCCCATTGCGAGGCTGTGAACAGGTCAATACGCTATTCAAACGCAAACAATAGCGTTGCAACCCCAATATTAACACGTACAGTCGCGAGCAAATGTAACTCTGTTACTACTTTTATTGGTGTATGATAAAAAATATACAAGATTCTCAAAACATTGATTAGGTTCCCTTTCGGTGGCTGAAATTCAGTGGAGATAAATAACCATTTTTTATTGCATTCTTATAAAGCTTAAACAATAATGGCGAAACTTCAGTTGCTGAAAACATACTGCGATTACCTAGATTTATTTGCAAAGTCTACATTGTAATAAATCTAATTGTGATAAATCGTCTACAAGACGAAACATTTAGCCTATTTTATTTATTAAGAGGGTTTACCACGATAATTTGAGAAAATGTTTTTGTAAAACTTTTTCGATGACGTTATGAAAACACGTATCGAATCTGATCATTTTCTTACTGTCAATAAAAAATATTTTGTCACTTGTGTACGCGTCTGTACCTATCGTATTATCACGTTTGCTAGGTATGCTCATTCGCGACACTTATGTAACCTGTTCCATTTACTATCACAGTTTTCTCGTCCGACTTCGTAATATATCTTTTTTTCTGTGGAATAAAGCGAATAAAATATATGGGCTTTTTCTTTTAGCCTGACTTTTTTGTTACTGCGTAAAAATACCATCTAACTTTTAAATACTCCAAAATCTTCATAATTTTAAAACATATTGTTATCTCAGTTTTGTCAAAGATAATGATACAGAGATTTTGGTCTTAGAAACCTACGGTTATTAAACTTAAACCA